TACTCTATGGTATAATAGAGGGGCTTGCCCTATGGCGCAAGGCGCTGCACCCTTCCAGGCGCGGTCGTCATCTTACTGAAGTCGCACGAGCAAGGAGTTCAATGGAGACACATGGAGAGGGGGAGGGCAAAAGAGGCAACATTCCCCGAGCTATACGCCTGGGGGCCTCCACGCCGGACCCAACCGATCACGCTATTCATTCCCACGTGCGAGACTTCACCAAGATGGCGGAAGCACTTGTAAGTCTCGAGGCAGCGAAGGCCTCTCCAGAGATATCTATATGCACTCTATGGTTTGAACTCTTCATTGCGAATGAACGCTACGATAATAATAAACAATAGTACATATATCATCCGGGGTGGCCGTCCCCCCCCCCCCCCTCCTAGGCAAGGGACACGGGGCAAATTGCCCATTTTGCCCCTCCTCTCTACGGTCCTGACCATAGTCGGTTATCCATGAGTTCAGTCAGCACTTGAACATTCTACGCGACAGCCGCTCTCTCCCGCTCTCGAGAACGAATCCGACAGTCGCGAAGACTCGAAAGAAACTGCTCGCTCGAGAGCGAGACAGAGACCCAAACCTGTGGAAGACACCCACGAATTCCGGGTCATATTTGGATATTCACGAGTTCAGTCAACATCCCCATTAACGCTCTGTGCAGCGGCCGCTGACATTATACGTCTTGCGCATCGCCCTCCCTCTTATTCTCGTGTTCACGCCTACGATACGGACGTTAATCGTGCGGCACTCTTATCCCGTATCGATCTCAACGATGTGCGTATCTTCGGTGAAGTCCATCTCCACCACTTTTCACTTAGGCCCATGAGTGAAATATACGCTAGAGAAACGGGATGGTTACTACGCGGTCGACTACATTTTCCGTTTCCAACCTCGGGAGTCACTCTCCTTGTGAGGATGCCGATCAATAAAAGGACGGGGTTCCGATTGATGAAGGGGTCGAGATCCCGATGAATCTATGATCTGATGATGAAATATATGATGATGAGATCTCATCCCGGCGAGGAAGCTATCCTTTCTAAGGGGACTACAAGTGTAACACGCGGGGACGTTTTACACGTCTATGCTGAGAAGTCCGTATCGAATCCCGGGTCTGTATCGGGATGTGCGTAGAATGCATCTCTCCGGTTGTAACCCAGTCAGGGGATAAACCAAGAAATTCCGGCCCCAGAGGTTGGTGGGAGAATACTCTACGCTTAACACTATAGGCTGAAATGAATCAAATGAAAATATTTTGACTGTGCGCATTCGAAAAACATCGTCGAACGCGAAGGTGCCGTGAAAATAAGCCAAACTCTTCTGACTCAATTTTACCAGTGATTATGCGTTAAATGAGGAGGTGTTAACACGTTTTGTAATACTATATACATGTATATACAGCTTTGTGGCGTAAAGAATCTAAAAACCTCCTTAACTCGAAGTCTCGTTGACACGAATGTCCCTTGGACTTCGAGTTATCATGAGTTGACTGTATGTTCTAAGTATATTAATGAGGTCCTCTTGAAATATAACATTTAGGAAACCTCTTGACGTTAATTCTAAGTTATAAGTTGTTTGTATCCAAAGCCAGCATCATAATCAAATTGAAATATCCCACACATATCTATACTGATATTCCATGGGTGACGTCATACATATCCAAGTTATTCCAGTTTCTATTAAAAACCTATTCACAGATGCTTTGATATTGCGCGCCCTGTGCTGGTGCAAGCATCCTTCACGAAACAGCCCTAAAGGAATCCTAAAGGAAACATACGAAACCTAGAGGTATCTTATACTGTAGGTTCCTTTAGGAATATTATTACTTTTCAGGTACAGAAAATAATCTATTGGATCCGACGCAGCCGTTTTCATAAAGGAATTATTATGCTTATTGAAACCCGTAGCTGTATTTTAAATGTTTTTGAAGTTCCACGATGAAATTAGAATTTTTGCAGTTTCAGCTGAAAATTGGGGCCTAACATCCATTCTCCTATAATAAATTATTTTTCTTTAGCATAGGAAATCAGGTAGCTTCCGTTGTTGTCTAATTAAATAACTAAAAGTAAAGTGGTCACTAAAAATGTCAGGGAGAGTGAAAATGTATGTAATAGAGTAATCCTATTTTCCTATTTTCAGTTTTCGGAGTTTTCGGAGAAAGTGAACCTCCAAATCAAAGATTTTGACCTGGAGGTGACAAAAGTCCCCTTTTTTGCTTTCAATGTACCATTTCGCCATTTAAAAAAATGAAATTAGATGAAGATGATATAGCTAACAATTGCATCGTTTTGCATCAGAAAGTTCGGTTGTAATACGCAAAAAGTAAACATTTAAAGCAAACATTTCAATAAAATAAGCAGGTCCAGGGGGTGACACTTTAGACCATCAGCATTTTCTGGGGAGTGACTATTTTAACACTCTGATCGTTCTATCATATGCCGCCAATATCTATCTTTGAGCGTATGCTCATAGTATTGAATATTTAAGTAGTTTTTATTTTGGCCTCGGAGTTGACCTTAGCGTGGAATTACCCAGTAGTGCTTTCAAATTAGGTTTGGGAAAAAGTATCCGGAACTTTTTGTGGGTTAAGCTTGAGGGGTTCGTACCGCGCCGCCTAAGCTTGTTCTGTGGCTATGTAATATATGAAAATAAAGACGCTGAAAAGCTCTGTAAAATGTTGTATATCTGTCGTGTATAGCTTTCAGGCAAAAATTCTCCCGCTCGATTGAAAAATGCGGCTTGACGACCACATCCGTCATTGCTTACTTCTCCAGTTCGATATGGGGCGCAACGCGAACGACGCGGTCCGTCGCATGAAGAAGGTGTACCCCGATGCCTGTTTGAGCAAATCCACGACATACGAATGGTTTGAGAAGTTTTCACGTGGAGATCGAACTCTTCAAGATGAACTCCGTTCTGGACGCCCATCCGTCATCGATGACGATGCGCTAAAGTCCACGATCGAAGATGATCCCCACTAAACCACGTCTGAATCGGCGAGCGAACTCGGCTGCGACCGTACAACCGTGTCCAATCACCTTCACACCATGGGAAAGGTGCGCAAACTGGACAAATGGGTCCCTCACAAGTTGTCCGAAACTGGGAAGATTCAAAAGAGTGACCATTTACTCAGCTTTACTGTCGCGTCACAAGGAAGACCCGATGTTTGGCCGGATCATCACGTCAGATGAGAAGTGGGTTCTGTGGAACGACCAACGAAGATCGATACACTTGGCTGGACCCTGATGAACCCCCGAGCAAAATGCCGAAACCCGACCTGCACCCAAAGAAGGTCCTTTTGTGCATTTGGTGGGCCCGATTCGGCGTAGTGCACTACGAGCTCCTCAAGATCGGCCAGTCCATCAACGCGGACGTCTACTGCAGACAACTACGGCGCGTCCATGAAGCCCTGCTTAAATCCCGGGCCGCATTGGTCAATCGAAAAAAGGTCCTCTTATTGCACGACAACGCAAGACCAAAACGTCGCCAAAAAGAACCAGCAAAAATTGAAGGACCTCGACTGGCAAGTTCTGCCGCATCCACCGTATTCACCGGACGTTGCACCATCGGACTACTACCCATTCGGGTCGCTGGACGACTTCATGTGCAAGAAGCAGTTCCCGAACGAAGGTGCACTCAAAAACGCACTTGATGGTTTCTTTGGCTCACGGGATGCGGTGTTTTGGGAGAGAGGAATCGATTCTCCTAAGGAAAGATGGGAAAAAGTTATAGATTGTGAGGGAGATAATTTTGATTGATAATGTTTGTTGCATGAAAAGTTACAGGGGGTCAAATATATGAGTCGAAAGTTCCGGATACTTTTTCCCAGACCTAATGTATATGGCATGCTGCCTCTCCGATTTGATTAAAAAGTTTATTTTGTTTGTTCCATCGTTGGAGCAAAGAGAGACCTGTACAAATAAATATGAAGGGTTGCCTTGATACTTCCTCATTAGACTTATTTGAGATGGAGGACACCACCGCGTCAAGTTCCCACAAAATATTGGAGGATGATGGAGAAGAGCAGATGAAAGTACGCGAACTAAAGAGTGAAGTCAAGAAACATGCGGAGAGAAATAAGGAACATCCATTGGAAAGGTGAGTGATTCCCTTCCCCCCCCCCCCCCAACACCCAAGTCAATTGCCTATCTTGTTTCAAGATGAAATCATATCCTGGCATACTGAAACTCTTTTTCGATTGATTGAATTGCTATGGTGGCCAGATGCGCTCAATATAGTGTTTTCGGTTTAAGTTTTTTTTTGTCATAGAAATAAAATCACTATGCTGCATCGACTCTCCAATTTTTGTACCTTAGCCACCCAGTAGACTTCTTTGGCACTGATGCTTCGGATCGATACGAATTTTTGGGGAGGGAAAGAATTCTGTTCTTGAAAGATATTGATCGGGTTAACGTCCCTTTTCTATCTTCGACATCATTGCGAATCATGACTAGAGATATAAAGATGGCTATGGGTATTACTCCCGTTCCAATCTGATCTATGGACTCCGTTTGGGTTGTCACGAACGAATATTTTTTATCGAGCTTATTTTAATTTTCCATTCTTCTACAGGAATGGCAAACCACGAATACTTCTTTCCATCACCTTCAGTTGCTAATCAGTATAAAGCTACACTTTCTGTGCGTGACTTTCCACCCGTTCGTGTCCTCACTACTGATACCAATGATTTATCCATTATATTTTGGGCTAGGAAAACATGACGTTCACGAAAGCCATATTCGTTATTCTTTCATAAAGTCTCGAAGCCACTCATGAAAGTGGTTCCACACAGTGATTAATCTGATAACTTTCATGTCTGGTTATCGATTAATCCACTCGCAATTTGCATTCTTCAGGGAAGCCAGCAACCAGGAAACAGGACAGAAAGAATCAGTCAAATATGGAAACACATGGAAGGTTCGTTGACTTCCAAAGTACATCCTAGAACATTTGAAGAGCACAAAAAATACGCGTAACTTATTTCACAGGGGAAAACCCAATTTATGCATGCATGCGAGGATTCCCAGGAGCTGGGTGAGTTGAGAAGGTTGGAAAAGTTTGAGGGGGAGGATCCTCGAAAGAGCGAAAGAATGAGGGTGCGTCTCGCTGGCTACGAGGCGCTCTCCTTCCTCGAGGGTGCCAAAAAGTATCAAGAAGAATATTATCCTCGAGCAGAAGAGCGGGCTTACTCATTCCCATCTGCATATATGCTCCGGGAACAGCATCAGAGGCGACTCTTTGAGAAAATGGAGAAAGCCGAATTTACTGAGGAGGCCTCCGGGGAAATAAGAATACCATCGACTTTTACGGCTGTAGCCAAGGTTTTTGACATGTTGAAGGAGGAATTCTCTAACTCTCCCAGTTTCGTCACGTATGAATATGACTTCGCAACAACGTTCTATAAGGCAATGGGAATAGCAGGAAAAGGAGCACAAGACGATAAGAGATATTGGAAGAGTGAGGGAATGGATATTTTGGGAGGTGACCATGATGTGTGCGGGATGGTCTTGGATGGAGATCGGGTTTTCGTGCTCTTCTTCGAGGTCAAAAGCAGAGAGCGAGGAGGGAGCAAGCAGTACCTTAAGAACCTGGTCGGAAAAGCGGAGGGGCAACTAAAAAGGAGCAAACACGTATTTCAACAAATTCTTGGATCGACTGCCTTTTCCCACACTTTCCTCTGCTGCTTTGTCGCTCTCCCCCATCTGCCTGCGAAAGAGGTTGCGAAGGCGATAAATTGCTGTCATCTGAAATTCCTCGCGAAAGAAGACGTGGAATCGCACGATGCTTTCAAGAAATTCCTAGCGACACACGGGCTCACTCTCACAAGAACGAAAGGATCAGATCCAGCCGCGATATCATGCTACTTGGACGTGATTAGGACGTACATGGCAGCCTCTGCATCCGTACAAGGAATGCCGAGGACAATGGATGATTTCCGCATGATCACTGAAAAACGGATGCAGACAGCTTTCTTTCTTTTCACTCCTCATCAGAAGCTGGTATTGGAGTCTGATCGGTCCGTTCTTTTCCTAGCCGGGGGGCAAGGTACAGGAAAGACGTTCCTACTCCTTAACAGAGCACAAAGGCTTGCACAACGGGACGAAAGAGTTTTAATAGTCAACATGTCAGGGGGAAAGCTGATGCAATATATGCGAGAGTGGCGTGAATCAAATGAATTTAAGGATAACATCGTAATAGTGGATTCCGTCGAATTTCTAGGCAGCGCTCCAGAACGCATAGAGACTTTTCTTGAAAATCTTAACAGCGAAAATGATAGGCATGTCCTCGTTGATGAAATGCAATTGAACTGGGACATGGATAATATGAATCCAGAAAATATCGGGAAGAAATGGAAATTCTTCGCAGAAAAAAGCAAATGCTTGAGTCTTTGGGTAGCATGGCGTCCCAGCGACGCTAAATACTCTAAGACTCTCGATATCCACAGAGTCATCGAGTTCCTGGGAAAAGAGAAAGTGGAGCTACTAAGAGAGATTAAGAGAAACACGAGACAAATGGGGGAGTTAGTGGTAGAAGTCAGCCGCTTCATTCAAAGGAGATTCCCATGCTACGACCTTCTCCCCATGAAAGGCCTGGAATATGACCTGGGAGAAGAAAAACAAACCCCCCTAGTTGTATTCATCAATTCTTCTTCGGAACGCAATTGGGTTTACCAATCGGTACCCGATATCCTCATTTGGATTCAATCAATTCAGAAATATTCCAAGCCGCTCACCGTCATCACAAGAACATTCCCAGAAAGAGATGTGTTGATACAAGAGCTCGGATACCGCCTCCAACAGCGAGTGGCCTTCCTCGATTCGAGTGGGAGACTGCGGGGAAGCTCCAACCCGGCGTTTTTAATATTTGATGATAAGCAGGTGACAGGGATGTCATTCAAGAATCTTGTCCTCCTGGATGGTGGAAGTTTCTACAGCTCTTGGTCTCGACTGGTGAGCATGTCTCAAAGATTCCTGTGTGTCATCACCACAGATCCGTTGTTTTCTGGTCATTGGGAAGAACCTGGACAGGAAGGACTCATCACCTCCTGCTCTTTTAGGTTTCCACCACGTTTAAAGAAAAATTTTCGTAATCGATTTGAGGAGGCATATATCCCAGAGATCTCATGGACTGCTGCAATGGAGCCGGATTCCCTCCCACGCTTCAACTTTCGGCTCTCCACTATCCCTCCAGCCGATACCGAAACTGAGCAAACGAAGATTGTACTACTCTTTGGATTCAATCTTTCTGGAAAAACTGAAAACCTCATCCAGAGATTGAAGGGGAAGATAAAACATGAAAACGCGAATGCAACAGATTTCAAGGCGAGGATAATTTTCATTGATTGCAGCAGATTGACCAAGAAATATTATCCGGAAGGCCAAGTTTCTCTAGTGACAACGAAAGAGAGGATGAGGAAGGAAAACCTAGCGATAGAAGTATTCGACATCCATCACCTTCTCCAACGACATCAACTTGGGGAAGTTTATTCTCTCTCTCCCCGAGTCATAGGAAAACTTCTATTGAATATGCTGAAAAAAGAGAAGAAGGAAGGGCGAAGTCTCCACGTTGCCTTGGACAATGTTCCGGTTCATCCAATTGGACCCGGGCCCGCAAACACAGAGGAGCTTATAGTTGAATGGGAGTCCATTTTCTTACTCCTGTTGTCCCATGAGTCTCTCATTTCTCTTACCATTGCTTATCAGCCCTTCATCCGATACTATACAACCACTTTCGACGTGAAGGAGTTCGCCAAAGGATTCCAACAATCACAAACAATAAGTAAGAACTGCAATTATATTGCAAACCACAGGCGACACTCAATAATGACCAATTTTTTGCAGATTTGCATAAATACTTTGCCTTAATCAAAACCACAAGTGCCAATTAACCAAGGATCCCCTTACGTAAATGTCATTTTGGAAACCTATAGTTATTTCTTATAGAAAACCTATAGACTTTCCTATTGGTTTTTGGAACACGAAAAACCTATAGGATCCTATAGGTTCCCTATAGGGTCTTATAGGTTTCCTGACCTATAGGATTCGGGAAGGATTTTTTGGGTTTCGAAGCCCAGGCATTACGACGTAAAAGGCGACAGGGGTTTATATTGGCGCAGCATTTTGGTGTAACTGAAACACCGATTAGGGATTTTCCCATGACGGACACTTGCATTATATTGCAATACATACCGGTAATGCCCAGGTCTGTTTCATTTATGACCCCGGCCCAGATATGTCACTAGATTGCATGTCCAATTCCTTCTGTAGAAAGAAGTATTATTCTTCTCTCCACCTAAGGAAAAAGAAGACAAAACTTACGAGAACGTCTATTCACCGAAACTCCATACGAAATAAGTCTGCTTATTCTCGTACGTGGTTTTCAAAGGGAATAAGGGCACATTTCTTGCCCGGACTCCATGATTCTATCCGGAAGATGGGGCTGACAAATATGGAAGTGTAGAAGTTTATTAATTGCTACAATGAGGCAAGGCGAGACATTTGGGGATGTGCAATACTATTTTGTGAGAGATGTTTCCATAGGTAAGGGGAGGGCACTTTTGTGCCCTTTGTGAAATGCGAGAATCCAATATTTCCATCTAGTGGCCTAGAGGAGAACTTCAAACGGAACCATATTGGACATTCAGGATTCCATAAAGGCCCTATAAGTCCTATAGAGAATTCTACAGGTCCTATAGGGAACCCTATATGTTCTAAATGGAACCTTATACATTCTATAGGGAACCCTATAGATTCAATAGGGAACTCTATCGGTTCTATAGGGAACTTTATGGGTTCTACAGGGAACTATATAGGTCCCAAACTGAACCCAATATGAACCGATAGGATTGTTTTAGGTTCCTATAGGAATCCCATAAGACATTTTCGTAAGGGTCGGCAAACGCGAATGAAGGATGGAGGAATCCATTGGTAACAAAGAAGAATATAAATTATCTGTACGTTCTCTGGACAGCTCCAGAGACTGTAATTAATCTTTTTTCATCTAGTCACCTAATTCATGTCCTTAGTCTCTGCAAGAATAGGACAAGATCGGGTTACGAGGGTTTATGATATAATATTGTTGGTTACGTTCGAATTGTGGCTTGTAAGGTATTATTACGGAGGAAGGATCGATGGACGGATGAGACGAAGGAAGGCATGAGAAGCCGAAAGTAGCCACGGAACGGTCGGGAATTTAACCCGGGCCTCCTAATTGCCGGTCAGGTGTGCTACCACTACACCACCGAACCCGAGAATTCAGTCGAGCCTCTTGATGCCATCCTCATCCGTCACAGTATAATGAATTAGTATTTTCACAAGACACTTGAAGAAATGCAATAATGCTGAAATGGTCACGATGTCCCAGAGCACTTATTTCTATGGGGAAAGAACGTTTTCTCCCTTGTGCTTGTTAAGGAATAGGTATTTTTAAATGGAAGAGCGCATCGTGATTGTTGCAGAGGACCGTCAATACAGCAGGAAACACTTGAAACATACTCTTAATTCTTTTTTTCAGTCATCCTTTTTTCGCTATTTTGAAGGCTCAGCTGGTAGGGAGGCTTCAGTTGAGCGAGACATAGGCCTACAAATAATTAGCGTTCATACTTGGGTGGAAAACGAATCCCATCGAGGAAGCTGAAGTCAATCATCTTTCTCGATTCCACTTATCTCGGTCGTTTTTTATATAAACCGTGGGACTAATGATCCCATTCAAAGGGTCGATAAACGTACAAAGTAAAACATTGGAGGTTTTGGAATTACCCAATTTTAGAGTACAGGGTGTTCCACGTATCTCTGGCACACTTGTTTCCTTAATTAATCAAGAAATAATAATGTATTCAACCATAAATGTTGGGAAATGTTAATGAAAACATTGGAAATTGAGTTCATACCCATGGAATTCGCACAACAGTGCTTTTCGTTCGGTAAATACATAGTTTTTGCAAATGCCCTCCATTCTGATTGATGTACTCTGCATCCAATCAAAACAGTGTTCATTACTGCCTGCAATGTGTTTCTCTCAATGGTAGGGATTCCTTTTCTAATTATAGCATCAGCATCATACATCTAATTATAGGTCATCAGCAATCCTTGGTTTTGTGAAATACGCATTGCTTTTAGGAAGCACCATTAAAAAATATATCATGGGCTGCGAAGTCTTGGTAGTGTGCTGATCATGGAACCATGAGGTGGCACCAAATCATGAAATGATTTATTTACCAAAATGTATTCTTATTCAAACTTCGCTGCCCCTGATATTTTTCTCTAGTGCTTCCTAAAAAAAAGCAATATGTACCACACAAGTTCATGGAATGCTAGTGACCCAAATAATAGAATTAGGAAAATTATCACCGTCATTGTGAGAGAAACTTTGCAGACAGTAATGAACAGTGCATAGGTTGTAGACAGAGAGTGCATCAATCAGAAAGGAGGCCATTTGGAAATAAATTATTTACTGAACAAAAAAGCATTGCCATGTGAAATCCGGGAGATGGTACATAATTTTCAAAGTTTCTATGAAATTTTCTAAAAATTTTAGAGGAAATAAATAATCTATTCTTCATTAAGAAAACAAATGTGTCAGAGATATGTGGCACACCTTGTATATGTGAGCTGCAGGAAGTGCGGTCCGAATATGAATTTTGAGTTCATGTGGGAAAAAGGTACAGTATACAGGGTGTTCCTAAATAATCCTTCCTACTTTTAACGCAAAAAAAAACAACTTTAGGCAAACAAAAATGCAGTTTCTACCATCTTGTAGCCACTGTCCAAAATTCTTGAGTAGTTTCAAGTCTGATGCATTTTTTGAAGCGCCATTTGAAAATCATAAATCATGTACTTTCCTCCTCTGCTATGCAATCGACACATTTGGTACTGGTAGTAGGGCCGCAATATGCGAGATGTGATATTTGGTTTGAAATACCCCATCTGTCATGGTTCTCAAATGAACCTTTCAAATTAATTCAACTTCATTTGAACTTTACATTCATGTATGCCTTTTGGGAACATCACGAATAGCTAGATGCTGAATAAAATATCGTGACATGCAGGCACGTAAGATTGACTGACAATTTATATTATTTACTCTAATGCAGTTGGAATTGATTAAATTAGAACGATATTTCCTAATTCACTGTTGTGATACGATTTGCTTTCCCTGTATCCGTTCCAATAGGGGTGAATATCCTGAAAGGATTTTGGAATGTGAGTTTTCCACGCTTTCACCAATACATCACCTTCCACGAATCCCCATATACATTGAGCTTGAAAGCAGGAACCCTAAACACTCGGGCTCAACCTTCTTCCCTCGTGTTAGGGGAGAAACCCATCCTCATTACTCCTCCTGTAGAGACTCATTTTCATGGGGAATTCAAGTGCATTGACGGCAGGGGTCGAGGATGCATCGCCATCACTGCTGCTGCTTACCTTCGTTCCCAACCATGTGTATGTTCAATTCTCAATCCCTTCATCTATCTCGTATCTCTACATCAAAGAGGCGTCTTGCATTTCATATTAAGCGCCACAGCATAAAGCGATGTAATATGCTTTGCAGAAGATAAGGAAGACAGAATAATCTTAAGACATGTAATATGCTAATTAAATTAAATTACCTACTAATTATGTAATACCCTACTAATTATGTATTAATTAGTTGGGAGGAATGTTAACTCATAATTTCGCAAGATTGCGTCTGTTCGTACGAGAACCTGAAGTGGTTCAATTGCAGAATTACCTTTTGTCACGACACCGAGTCAAAATTATTAAAATCATACGATGCACAATTACCTTCGGTCGTAACACTTGTGACTTAAGAGCTCCTCTCCGGCAGCGGAGCTGAATTTTTCTAAATCACGGAAAGGACATGTGGCTCTTGGAATCTGGGAGCAAATGCTCATCGATTATGCATACGTTATGTTTTATTGCACGATATCATGTCGGGGAGAGGTTGGTGACTGGATGAATTCTTGACTTACCTGCAGCGAAAACGGAAACATTTCGAGCTACTATTTCCAAAATACTGTACATGAAAAAACTTACGACAATTGTATGCAAAGATTCGAGTCCAGCATTTGGGAAAAACATTTAAGTGGCGCGAGAAGACTATGGCTACATGCCAACTCCGACAATTGACTTTTCAGTCACCATGAGAGTAGATCATTATCACTTTCCCTTAGAGATTCTTTCTTCACCTCTTTCTCAAGGGAAAGCATTCTAGTAGCATTTAATCTGAAAATTCCCACGAAAAGTGTCTGTTAAAAACGTCGATATCTCACAGTGAAACCTTTAACTGAGAAAGCGTAACTCAAATTCCTCTACGGTGTGCGTACTATGACGGGTACTCTGTACCTGGATGAATACATGAATAAAATGCATTTTAGTGATTTCACTCTCTCAACGTTGTTTCCACTGGAAGGAGAACGTCATGGTGCTAATCTCTGATGAAGAGATCCGAGAGATCTTCCATGAAGCTTTGATACATGAGGAAGAGGCGAGTGGGGTGACAAGAGAAATGCCACAGATCTGCCATCCGAAGGATTACCGAGGCTGTGAGAGTTCCCAGGTGATGTGCGTCGGGGTTGAAGACTCGTGGGTGGTCGAGGGGATATCCCGCGCAATCCAGACCCTTGTTATCGTCGACGGGGGGACTCACCTCTCTGCACAAAACCGGTTGGAACTCTGGAGGGAGATGAAGAGAAGAGGCCTACTCCTTCACCGCCCTCAATCATCCTCTTCCGTCTTTGACTCTCTCTCTCCGGATCACTGGAAGGCATTGAATCAAAGAAGCCTCTTTCTAAAGGTGTAGTTTCAAAGTTTCATACTCATGATTTCATAACTACCGCTCCTCTCATCTTGCGCATTTCTCTCCTCATGCAAATCTCGTCGACTTACTTAGTCCCGCGTTTTTATCTCTTTATAGATCCCAGCGAGTCATGGGATGGAGGAAGGAGCGAGGACGTATACTTTTCGCCACGAAGGTAATTTATGATAATCAAGCAATATTTGATACCAAGAGGAAACATGGGTCACTACATTTATAATGAACTACCAGCTCCTTCAAGAAAAAAATGTTGAAATGCCGTCTCCATTTCATGTTCTCTACCATATTTCATTCAAGTTGTAAAAAATTGGCCTCGTGTCAACTCGTTTAATCACTCATTCTTCAAACAAAAATGGAGTATCTTATATCTTATCAAAATTGAACTTTTCGGAAAGCATCACGAACTTCACCACTCAAAATCGCGTAATGGATCTGATTATGCAAGGAGCATCGGCATGAAAGCCTTATTCATACAAAAATTAAAAATGACTTCGTCCAACTTGCTAACAGATGAGCGTACGTTGCCCATTTTGTGGCAGGGAAATTTTTTCACCATGATAGAGTCCTCCGACTCATCTGTTGAATCAACGTCATGAAACGCAAGCAAGGAGAAATTTGAAACACTTGACTCGCTAAAATTTAATGAAGTGAGCTTCGTGGCGTAAGGAATTTCCTCATCTGTCATTACAACATGCTAATTTCAGTCTCCTGTGTATTTATTCCATGGAAATTAGCCTGTGTGCATGATTTACTAATTTCAAATTTCTGAATCGTTGCACTCGCGGCTTGTCTGGTATTACAGGGAGATCTAGATGAAAAATTATGAGAAGTTAAAACTTGGTACACGTACAGCTGCAGACTCCACAAAAACTCCAACTTTGTAAGTGCATGGCCTGGGAAGCATTTCGAGGGGACTGCTTTTGCAGACCTAGGCCTAACCCATGGATGGACGCCTAAGTTAATGTCACTCGCACACCTTCCTCAAGGAAAGAGGATGTAAATTTAGTTGCTGTTGGAATACATGCTTCAATAAAAATTGCACTTCGAAGGTACTTGCTCTCACAGGACTGAGTTAGCCGGTTTATAACTAACCCTCGGACAAAGGCTCAATCCAACACCAATCTTGACCCATTCGTATCCAGGTACTTTCTTGCCAACATGATCGAGAATCCTCCTGCCTTGGCCTGAAGTGCCAGATATTTTTCCCTTTTCCCCTATGCCTTTCTACGTATCAGGGTGGGTAAAAGGACACTGGTTAATGCGTACCGGTACCCTTGCAACTACAAAGGTGCTATATTTTTCCAGCAGGAAATGGGGTTGGAAGATTTCCCCTCAACATTGTGATTTAATGTTGGTATGCCCATTTCACTTGCGGATGCTTTGGCAAATTTCTATGCACGCACTTCCTTCATCGGAAAGGGAACGTGAATACCTATGGGGTGCAGTGAAATTAAGTATTTTCTCATGAACAACACCTCTTAGAAGGAGTTTGAAAAGGAACACTATCCGATTCCTGGTGTCAACATATATATACTGTATATATGCATGAATATAAAAATACTCATACATAATACCATACGTAGTCTCCAAAATTAATTGCATTGAAGAGCTGAAGTAATGATTGTATATGGTAACCATGTACAATAAGCAAATTGACTTTAGGTACCTTAAACGACATACCGGGAATATTCGCCCGATAATCCTTATGGTGGAAATCATATGACGTCACTATTAATACGTATTCCGAAATAATTTCATTTTCGAGGTGCGAAAGCTGGAGGCGAGGAAATCGTCAAACCCGTTAAGCAAAGATTTTAACTGGTTCAAAAAGGCTGAGCTCCGAAAAATAATGTTTTGGAAGCATTAGGTAATTGCCTTTGGTCATAGAGCGCCGAAGGCACTTCCATCGCTAGATTTAGAATAAAACCCGTCGGTTTTAAGCTGATCACACCGCAGGTAATCTTACGGCCTAAATCACGAACCTTCTTTCAATGAGCAACCCTTGAACGCAGTCTTGATTTTATTATAATTTACTTGCGTATGCGATAGAAACTGATCTTAGGTATCCTGAACTATTTTTCCTGTCCAGGGAAACGAAGAATTTTCGCCATGGGGACTGATAACCACAAAAGGGCAGGGATATGGGAAATCCCTTTATATCCCTTTTTTTCCAAGGAGCCTCCAACTTTCTGGGTCGAAAGTCTCTATAGCGTTGGCAGTGTGTTCCTCGCCCACTCTGAAAAACTCATATTTGGTAGAGGAGGGAAAGTACACATCCTCAACCTAGAGGGGAAGGATCCTAGGGATGCTCCCCATAGATGGAAAGAGCCTACCCCCATTAAATCTCCAATCCTCATCAAAGGGACCATGGGGGTTGTCAACCAGAATCATCTCTTTCTATTGGGAGGGTCGGGGAGTCCCCAGGATGTGCACCGGCTAGACCTCGACACAGAGACATGGACGACCGTCTCTCCGACGAGGGAGAAGAGAATGAGGGCAACATTGGTGGTGAAGGACCCCCACACCATTCTTGTTTTAGGAGGTGAAGACCCTGACATGAAAAGACACATTTCAAGCTGCGAGTGCTTGGACACGAGAACGGAGCTGTGGTCAACATTCCCTCACAACATTCCCGATCCTCTTTCGGCCCAAGCAGCTACTATGCATAATGATCATATCTACGTAACAGGGGGATGGGATGGGAGGAAATCCAGAAGGAATGTGTGGAGGTGCAGGGTGAATGGAGGAGGGCCCTGGGAGACACTTCCGTCCCTGAATGTCGAGAGATGTGATCATGCAGTGATGATTGATGAGGAAAGGGGGTTATCTGTCATCGGCGGCAGCATATATCAGAGCGGTCAGAGGGACATCGAGGTCCTTGAGACAGAGACCTTGACACTGAATGGAAGAATGTGGATGACCCGAGGGAAAGTTCCCTTCCGGAAACTCTGGAAAGCGACGGAGATGAAGTGAGGTTTCAAATGGAATCGCTTTCAACTCTTTTGTTATTCTCCGTAATCTCACGCTCGAAGCAAAATTGAATGACCTGAAGCCCAACCTCTTGTTTCCTGGCAGATTCAACTGACGTCAGGAAGAATTTCGGGGATGGTTTCCAAGATCCTTGGTGCCCTTGAGAGGAAGCGCTACAGAAATGGTCGAGGAAAACTCAGTCAAAGATTCTCCCACATGTGTCAATTTATTATGAATCCATGAATGTCTTGTTTGAGTGAGATTTGTTTAACGAAGTGATGTTGCAAGCAATACAGGTGCATTTCGTTTAGCGCTACATTTATCTCATACTAGCGAGTTTGTTTGCAAACTAACTCGCTAGTATATGGATGTCTCTGCCGGAAAGTTTTTCAGGAGTGAATAATAGCCTGAAATTAATCAGATTCGAAAGGTTCATTACTCAGGCACTAAAACAAGTTTAACCTTTTATACTGATGTCATTCAAATTAGAATTTGTTGCTGGGGAACCAATGAGTTGTAGCTATATCTTCCACGGAAAGCCCCTGTCTGTATATAAGAGCACCTTTCCAGGTAAAAAGCAGGCTAAAAGGAGGGAGCCTAAGAGTTGATTTTAGAGATTAGAGAATATGTTATAGCAATTTCACTCCAGCAGATATACAGGGTATCCTTAAAAAAAAGTTAACGCTGCTTGATTCAATTTTTCCTCAATTATACGCAAATTAAAAAATTATTTCCTCAGTCATGAAGAAGGAAGAATAATCTCTCGTTTGCAAAATAATGAATGAAAATCGATCAATTATGAAGAGAGATGTGAGAGACTAAGAATTAAATTTGAAGAAATTTACTAACTTCCACAATGTCATTGAAGAATGCGTTGAAGATCTTCCTCTCTTATACGCCAGTACACCTTCAGCAACTTATTGAAATTCTCGACGACTGACTCACTGATGACTAGTTCTCCTTTGCTGTATTGCTTTTTGAGACTTCTATACAATTTTGCAGTGAGATGCATCAAAACCAGCAGTCCAGTACAGTATTGCACGCATTGACAGAAAACTCAAAGATAATTAGTGCATTCGCGAGTCCCATCATCACTGCAACCTTGACCATGCCACTCCCTTTGACTTTTTTTCTTCTAGGAAGTGCGTGAAATTCGAATAGTCTTAAAGAGAAACAATGAAAGAAGAAAATTGACGTCTGCAAAATTCAGTCACTAACGAGTCACCGCGAGCTATCTAGTCGAAGAATCAGCGATGGTAGAAATAAAATGAGCAAGAAATTCACACATTTTCAGTCAAGGCGTGCAATTCTGCACTGAACTACTGATTTTGGTGCATTAAAAGCAAAACTGTTCATGAGTCTCAAAAATCAGTGCAGAAATCTTGCCAAGGAGGTGAAGGCGTACAGACGACGTGTCTGAGAGGCCGAACATGGACGAATCCTTCAATGACATGATGAAAGTGAGTCAATATCTTCGAGTCTAATTTTCAGTCTCCCATTTATTGCTTTAGAATTGATCGCTTTTCATTTAGTTTTCAGCAAACGAGAGCTTAATCTTCTTTATTTATGGTTGCAGACAATTTTTTTTAAAGTTTTGTTTAATTCAAGAAAAATTGAATGAAGTAACGTTAACTTTTTATGAGAGACCCTGTATCTAAAAATCTGATGAGATGCTTTTTTGAACTATTGATGGTATCATTGGCACCTAATGCAATCATAATGCTTCTAATTCATGTTATTCGTTTAACCATTTTGCTCAAGTTTGTCTGGCGGATTTCCGCTACATTAACTGAAACATATGGAAGAAATATATATTTTTTTAAACCCAGGAGACTTGATATACATATCTTGTACAAATCCTGTACACTCATCGAGAAAAATAATCATACGAAAAAGGAATTGAGCGTTCTTAATGAAGTTTAGTAAGCAAGGTCGTACTTAGAAAATCATGAAATTGACTATCATTTCAGGGGTGTGGGCTAACTATTCAGGGATATGGTATTTCCAATTTTAATTTGGAGTTTCGGCTTCAGGGTCATACAAATCATTCAAAACGGTCACCTTGAAGAATTTCATTGATGAAGTGGAAAATCTCCTCAAGATGGGCCGAAGAAGAAACCAAGCAGCTTCTCGATATCTTGAGATGAGGCAATGCGCCAAGTGCCCAAGGAATTGGGGGATGTGGGAGGCGCTGCTAAGGGTGCTACTTACCATTTATCTTTCCCTCAAGCTCCTTCACTCTCTGTTCGTTGCCTAGAGTCTGACTCCGAGAAAATGCCAGGATTAAATTAAATTTAAATTTATATGTGGGTATGTGGGCAATTTAAACCGTGGACACATATTCGTGGGATCCATACTGGGAAGGGTTGCCCTAGATGATCGGTTGATTACCTGATTGACTTTTTTCGTTTTGTGCTTACACAAGGTCGATTCTGAAAAAGCGAAAACCGGTGTTCTCCAGGACTCTAGCAGGACGTTTAATACCGTAGACCATACCATCGTCATTGGAAAACTAGTATCACTTGAAGTAGATGGATTTTCTTCAAGGCGTGAAAGGCCAACTTCTGAAGTTGAGCAGCGAAGACGACGGCAGTCACGATGGTACCGGTTGGCAGGAGGTCATGGTGCAACATTCCTTCTGAATTCCACCAACAACAGAAAAGAACCTTCTACTCGTGAACCCTGATTTCGGTTCGTGTGGCGGCAATTCTCCTCATGGAAGCCACTGACTCTTGCGAGTATGGTTGACGTAGAGGACCCAGTAACGATTTCCTTCAGAAGGTTTTCTGTGCGGACGAACGAGCAGTGATTTTCAGACACTGACACAGCTTGCTTTGTCAGAGTCGCTGAGCTGATGAGGGACCCATGTCGAGTAAACCTTCCGATAGCCGAGGTCGTTCAGATGGTTGCCGATGGCCATATGTGTGACTCCAAGTGTAGACGCCGATTCGCGAGTGGTGGCGTTCGGCTTCGCGTTGAGGGCTTTCCGCAGGGCTTCGTCATCGACTGTAGATGGACGTCCTGAGCGTGGTCGATCTCCGAAGGTCGTGTCGCCAGATTCCAAGCGTTTCAACCATCGAGACACCGTGGAATAGTGGACGACGTTGCCCTTGAATACAGCGCAAATGTTGTCTGCGGCGGCTCTCGCAGAGTGTCCTTGGAGGAACTCGTAGTAGACGATGGGGCGAAGAGTTGCTTGTTCGATCGGAGCCATGGCTGCCAACTAATGGCAACAGCCACCTTATATACCCCGAGGGCAGAAGCTTCGAGAACATTCCAGCATATACAAATGCAAAGCCCCGCCCATCATTCCTTTGAAAATTTTCATAAATAGTTTTAGAAAGTGCAGCAATACTTTCTTTCCAACCCAATACTTTTGTGTACTATGCGGAAAGCGAGACCCATACCTCCATCTATTTGCCTAGAGGAGAACTTCAAGATTTCCTCAAAATTAACTCATCCGTGGAAATGGGGCGCATTGGATCATCGCGTCAGCTGATTTTGCATCGGTGATGGAATGGCAAAATTGGGAAGTCAATATTAAGCCAATATTTAACCGGTAAAGGCAATGATGGCAAGATGCATGAACCCAGCACACATAGTAACATTGTGGGAACGTTCCCCCAGAGTCAATACAGTGTCATCGACGTTGAAGGTCAAAGACCGAAGTTGCGCGAATATTGTAGCACTGTTATGGCGTTATACCTTTTTAAATCGCATTTTAAATTAATATTTATGGTAGTTTCATGGAATATGCATCGCCAACTAGGGAAAAAAAAAATTTTCCCAAAACGACAAAGAACCTATCCAGTGTTACTATCCCAGTAATCTAATACCTAATATATATAGACGATGGTGACTGACTGACTGACTGACGCTAATTCTAACCATGTTCTAGGCATGATGAGAGGCTGAAACTTGGTACACACATAGCTGATAGATTGATGACTCCAGAAAATTTCCAACTTTGGGGGTAAGTGCCCTGGTGGCTCATTCCGGGGGGTCTCATTTTGTAACCCTAGGCTTAACCCTCAGACGGACGCTTAGGCCTAAGCCATTCTGAGGCTCCCCTTGCCTTCAACAAAACGGAAGGAACGTGAATAGCTGATAGGTTTTCGATTCCAGAGAAAGCCTAACTTCGAACGCCCAACTTTGGGGGTCCATGCCCTGGGGCACGTTTTTTTGGGGTGTTGGCTGACTGATTTCGCAGGCCTAGGCCCAACCCATGGATGGATGCTTAGGCCAATATCACTCTCATATATTTTCTTTTCTCATGGAAGCAGGAGAGAAAATAAATAGCTGTATCATTCCACACCTTTCCTTGCATACTACAGATACAGTTCGACATTGGCGGTACTTGCCCTGATGGGAATGATTCAGCAGGCTTATATCCAACCCTTGGACGATTGCTCAGGCCTACAACAATCTTTCATATTAGACATCTTAGCGTTCAAACTCTCAAGTGGTTTATGCAGTTCATATGGCTGCTATTACTCCTACTTTTTTGAAGATTGATATGCTATTAAGAATGCCTCGACCATAGACAGGAATTGAATACACCAATGGAACACTAAACGGCATACTTAAAATTGTTAATTGGTGATCCTTATGCTTCAAATGACATGGCGTCATTAATAATATGTTCTTTAACACCTTTACATTAAGGTGCGAGAATTGAACCCATGAACAAAGGAGTTCCGCATTAGTAGGGGTGAGCATCGAAAACAGATGCCTTAGATCGCAGAGCGCCGAAGGCGCGTCCATAGCGAGTTTGTTTGCCCGAAGGGCAAACAAACAATATATAATATATATATTGCTAGTACAATATATACACGATCGTGACTGACTGACGCTAATTCTAACCATGTTCTAGAGAAATTAGAAATATGAAACTTAGTACACATGCACCTACTGGGATGCAGAGTTCAGAAAAAATCCGACTTTGGAGGTACATCCTCTGGGGGTACCCTTTTTAGGGGGAGAAGTTTTTAAATATATATATA